CTGGCTGGAGGCCTTTTTGTGGGCGGACATTATTAGAGTGAAGCAGTCAGGTTGGTTGGGGGGACTGTTCACACTCACGGGGAATGTAAACAACACACAGATGGAAAAAAAAAACATGGAGGAAGGGCGGCAGGAGTGAAATTACTGTGGGGGAGCAGCAGAGGAATGGAAAAACCAGATGACAGAAAGGCATTACCCCACAGAGGAAGTGAAATCCTGCAGGATTTGTAGCCCGCTTTGGACTCTTGTGATTGGCTACACCACCATCTCCAGACACCCCCCCCCACCCCCGTCTTCTTTCCACCCATCCTCAGACCCTTTGAGATGGAAAAATGGGTCATCTGTGTGAAAGTTAATACTCTGAGCACGTACAGCTCTGCTTTATTTTTAGGACCTGCTTTGGAAAATTTTTCTTCTTCTCCCCTCCGCTCACTGAATGACACAGAAAGAGACGTGTGTGTGTGTGTGTGTGGGGGGGGGGGGGGGGGGGGGGAAAAATATGCTGTGCTGCTGCTCTATAATCTTTAAGGCCCAGTTTACTCGACTGATTTCAGGAGAAATCAGAACAGTTTTGATGTTTTGGTCCTCCGTCCACAACAAATCTGACCGGCACAGGAGATATTTCGCTAACAGAGAAATGGTGTTTTTAACAAAGGTCTCGTGCACTTTGTCCGTACGAGGCTCAGCTACTACCAGACCAAATCAGTGTCTGATTATCTTACTTTGTATCCCTGAATGTTTCTGTGCACGGAGTCGTTGTGACTTTATAAATAACCTGAGTTCTCTGTTCTAGGGTGGATTAGCTGCGGCGGCCATCTTGAAGAGGGTAGGCTCAGTTGTACGATGATTTCTTTAAAAATCCCGTCTGGTGGTTCATGAAACAGTTCGCGAGCCGACACACGAGCGTGGGCGAAAACCACGTTCGCTCGTTTTGAGCAAAACATTTAGCTTATAGTTATGGGTTTTAAGTAGCCGAAGCGTTTACACTTATTTTATTGCTCAGGTCAAGATCAGGTGAGCAGCAGCAAAACATTTAAACCAACAGTTTGGTGAGTTCAGGTAATCAGATCATCTCTCCAGACGTAGAAGGCGAGCGTCGCCTTCGGCTGGTCGTTCCGTGGCGCGTTCCGCCCTTCATAGAAAAGAAAACTTGGCGGCAGAGCCTGCTACGTGAAGCTGCCATAGCAACCGGACACAAGTGGGTTATTTCTGGTGGCCTTAACGGCCCAAACACAGCTGCTGCCGCAGAACCCGACACCTCCACCGGTCCCAGGCTGCACTCAGCCGCCCACGTTCAGGCTCCGACTACAACAACAAAAGGTCACACGTGTCGTGGATAATTTGTTGACGGGATTTCAAGTAACGAGTTTGTGGAGCTCCGATTTATTACAGAACTCCCAACACGGCCGTGCAACCAGAACCAAACACGCCGAGAAGAACGGCTGCTGTTCCCGAGCCGTTCACCGTCAGACGCGTTCTATTTCTGGAGCAGTTCATAAAAACAAGTTCTCATCAAGAGCGAGCGAAACGTTAGGAACCGCTCCTCCTGAGCACGTGGCCTCCAACCATTGTTGTTGCTGTCAACTGGAGCAGATCTGCTCTCAGCTTCCTGATGGGGGGGTCTCTGAGGACCTGGAGCAACAGCGCCCCCTACTGCAGGACAAGAGGGACTTTCTGTAACTTCACCAGATCCAAAGAGCTGACTCATAGTCATGAATGGTTTCTAATAAAAGAATCTCATTGATGAAGGTTCGGTCCAAACACATTTATCTGCGTCATGACGTCCAGACTGGTCCACATACATTAAAAGAACTTGTTTTACTGGGTCTTAAGGACCTTCAGTCCAGGCAGAACTAGTCTGGTGTTCGTCAGGTCCGCAGAGGACGAAGCCCAGAGGCGACTCTTTGTTTATGGACGAGGCGGACCAGCGGTACAAGGTCCGAACCGGTTCCTACATCCACCGCAGGCTCGAGCTCCAGGGGTTTACTCATCTTCTCCACCTCTCCCACAATCCAGGAGTTCTTCACACGGTGCAGGGCCGGTGCGACGCTGCGTGGGGCCCCGGGCAGAACTGCTTTCAGAGCCCCCCACAACACAAAAACACCAACAACTTTAACATCGTCCCTCTTCAGCCGGGCTCCAACACCAGCCGAGGACGTATTCCATAAAACGACTTTAAAGGGGTATTCTGGTCATTTTATTGAAGTTCTGTCAAATAGTGATCAGCTGTCGTGAAAACATTCAGTACGAGGAAGCGACAAAAGTAAGAAAAATAAGTTTTAAGCTAATAAATCCAAAACGACAAACGAACTAAACGATGGCAACAATTAAACCTCTACACTTTTTGGTTCTCTTCGCCGAACAGCTCCGTTACGTGATTGTATTATCTTACGTATATGCGGCCACTTGTTTAGCTAGCTATTAGCTTAGCATGGCTAGGCTAAAGGCTAGCAGCAGAGTTGTGTTTTGTTGCCAACAATCACAAGTCGTTTGTTTACATTCAGTCGTTGACGGTAAAGTTATCCCCGGACGCAAACGTGGTCGGAGGCAGAACGATGGACTTGAAGACGGCAGGTCCAACGAGACAAGATGAAGTTCTTCTCTCTTCTGAAAAGAAACAAGAACTGAGATGTACCATTTTGGAAATGAAGTGGTGGAGAGCGTTAAAGCTAAAGCGGGGGCTAAAAGTGTTGCCAGATATCTGATTATGCTATTTATACAATAGTTTTAGGATCTACACGTTACAAAAGTTGTTTTTAAAAAAATCCCAAATATTCAAGTTTTGGTACGACCGTTTTTTTTTTTAATTCACGTAGACATCGTGTGATCGGACTGCAACACCCAATCTTACCACCTTCATTTATCGCATACAAAAGTTTGTGCTATCATCTCCTACCTGGCAACCCTGGGTTAAGAGCATTTAAAAACACAAACCTAAAACATTTGACATGTATGGATTAAAGTGGTCTTGGAGGCCCCCTGCTGGTCTGGGGGCCCAAACCAGTATGTTAAGTTGTTCATGATGACAGTTGAGTCCAGAGGGGCCCCCCCCCCCCCCCCCCAGGCTTCTCCAGTTCCACTAAAATGGCAAATTACTGTAGCAGCCACTCAAAGAGCATGAGTTCATGGAAAATGGAACAGTGTCCACCATTTAGTCTTTACTTGACATTTCTGGGCTGCTGCTCACTTTTCATTCCTTCAGTAGAAAAGAAAAACGTATCTAAC